GTAGGAGATCCTTGATAGAGAGGGAGAACAATGTGGAACAAAACTCAAAATCATTTGGAGGGCAAAAAAAGATGGTGGGGACCAGGTGTGCTGATCCAATAGAGCCTGATGGAACGACTGAGACTATGGCCTCTACCTGCCTTTCAGGTCTGGAATTGAACCCACACCTATGGTTTCCAGCCAAACAAAAGACAGGCATATGAGTTGAACATTTACTTCAAGTAGAGACACGCCTTGGAGAGAACAGTCATGGGAGAAAGAAGGGCTGCTTATGCACAGGGAGACAGCTCAGGGGGCAGGAGAGTATGGAGGGATGGAACTGGGAAGAGGTAACTATGGGGAGGAAGTGGGAGAGGAGCTGTTGCATTGTGGTAACTGTGGTCAATGACATGAGACAAAGTGTATGTGAACTGCTGTATGGAAAGTGAATTTGCTCTGTAAATCTTTACCCAAATCACAATAAATAAATAAATAAATAACGCACTACTGTATGCTTTTTCATAGGGAACTGAACAAAGGACTAAATATGTAATTAGCAAACTTCTGTGGAATTCAAGAACTTAATTTAAAGAAAGCATCAATTAAATAGCATTCCATTACATTTTGGAACTCCTATTGGGCTTATTTTATTAAAATTTGTTTATCTTGCAAACAAGGCAAACAAAAATATATCTCATACCTCATACTTGGTTAGAAAGCTGTAGAGGGTCTCAACATCTTGATAATTACTGTTGGGGGCCAAAATCCTAAAAATCAAAAGCAAAGAAAGTGAATGAATGATTTAAATGAAACAACAACAGAAAAACAACTTTCTCTCAAAAACACATCTATATTATGAGAAATAACTTATTCCATGGTAAGTTTATTTAATAGTTTATAACCTTTGTTGTTTTTTTAATCTGTCAATTAAAAATTATAAAACTATGATCTTAATATAATTCAACAGAGATCAATTTATTAAAATATTTTGGCTTATTTAAATTGGTAGTTATATCATCAATTAATCACAAACCATAAGCATTCATACAGTGAAATTACAGTTCATATTTTGAGTTACAATGCTATAGGTTCCTCAAAGGATAACCAGAAATGTGAAGTGCAAGTATACTCCCTATCTTTTAAGCTGTAAACAAACCTTGACAAATTCCTATAGAAATGTACAACCAGTCCAAATGGACATCAGATTAAACTATTACCCATATAAAAGAAATACTGATATTAAAAGATGTTGTGACTAAATTTAAATAACACTCTTTGAACTATCAGCCTAGTGCTTTATGAAATATCAGTAGTTATCAGACTATGTCAATTGTTAGAGATAACACTGATTCACAAAAAGAATAAATGATAGAAACAATGAAAAGATAAAAACAAGAAAGTGAAGAATATATTTCTCCATTAGCATTAAAGTATTAATTCTCACTTTCTGATACTATTTTTTAATTCTTTCAGCATGAAGAACATTTTTTTCTTTCAAAAAAACTAAAAATAAAGTAATTCTGTCTTTATAGCATACTGGCTATTAAAAAAACTGCTGTCAAGTCAATTAGACTCATAGCGACCCCTCCTTGGGTTTCCAAGGTGGTATCGCTACAGAAGTAGATTGCCCAATCTTTCTTCATAATGGCTATTAGCATTGTCTTTCTGGGTGAATTTAGTTGTATCACCCTGGGTGAGTTACTTAACTTCCATGTGATCATCTTTTACCTGCTGTTAAATGAGGATATTAATAGTTTCTACTTCATAGGGTTGGGCAATCTACTTCTCGGAAGGTTGGGCAATCTACTTCCACAGTGATACCGCCTCGGAAACCCAAGGAGGGGCAGCTATAAGTCGGATTCTACTCAACAGTAGTGAGTTTGGTTTTAGTCATAGGGTTGTAAAAACTAAATGAATTCATATAAAAAAATTCTTATATAACAAGTGAAAAACTGTGAAAGTTCTTAATTAAAAAAATAAAAACCACTATCATTGAGTAGATTCCAACTCATAGCAACCCCCACTGGGTTTCCAAGGTGGTAAATCTTTATGGAAATAGATTGCCCAGTCTTCCTTCCACGGAATGGCTAGTGGGTTTGAACCACTGACCTTCTGGTTAGCTGTCAAATGCCTTAGGCACTGTGCCACCAGAACTCATAAAAGTACTTATACCAAGTGCTATTTATGTGTCAATTCTAATAGCAACTATCATTGTCATCATCATCATCACTTGATTGTTTCAAGCCACACAGTAAGTGAATGATGACATAACTTAAGAGCAAATGAAGCTACCTATACTAATTCTAAAATTCTAAGTGGCTTTTAATTATAATATCTATACCCTTACATCCTCATGATCTCTTGATGTTACCAGGCTTTCAAGAGAGTTAACTGATCTCACAACCTTTATTAGATCTTTAGACGTTTTTGCCTTTATTATACTTGTGGGAGAGGCTTTACATATAAATCTTCAAGACAGTCAAATTTTTAAAGGTACACATACAAAATATCTTTAAGAATATTTTTTTTAATCTACACAAGAATGCTAGTTTCATGGAAAACATTTCTTCCCTCAATATGTAATTTTAAAATACAAATGATCTAAGAACAGCAACAATAACAAAAAGGATAATACGTAGGCAGTGGTGGTGGCAGAGGAAGGGTCATAAATAATCTGCTTAAGTAAATGAAAACAAAGTTGTAAGTTGAATTAATTCTTTAGAGAAACAACAGGAAAAAATCAATTACTGTGTTCTAATTTTGCAACCTAGTATACACAAACAGTCAGCAATGTGGAATAATTTGTGCCTTTTTTTTTTATGGCTTTAAAAATAATCCAAACTGTGCATGATAAAAGGGGTTAAGGAAACCAGGTGAAGCAAGATGTTTTATATTAAGAACCCTATAAAATGTCAACCTAGTATCACAAAAGGAAGTATTTTACCAGAGAATTTACATTTTTTGCCCTGAAACACTTCATAGAAAACTTAAGTTTTAGATAAAGTGATCATTAATTATAGTAACGTATTGCATACAAAAGACCTCTTTCAAGTGCGGAATACCAAAGATGTCTCCTTGAAAACTAACGTGCACCTAACCGAAACCTAACCCAATCTCCTCTTATGCATGTGAGAGCTGGACAATGAATAAGGAAGACTGAAGAAGAGTTGATGCTTTTGAGTTGTGATGTTGGTAAAGAATGCTGAGAGTACCATGGACTGCAGGAAGAACTAACAAATTTATCCTGAAAAAAGTGCAGCTGGAATGCACTTTGGAAGCGAGAATGGCCTGAATTTGTCTCACCTACTTTGGTCATGTTGTCAGAAGGAACCATTTCCTAGAGAAAGATATCATGCATGGTAAAGTGGATGGTCAACAAAAAAGGGGAAAGCCCTCAACAAGATGGATTGACACTGGGGCTCCAACCATGGGCTCAGGTATAGCAAGGATTGTGAGGCTGGCACAGGACCGGGCAGTGTTTTCTTCTGTTGTACATAGGGTTGCTTTGAGTCAGAGATGACTCAATGGCATCTAACAACAACAATATATAATATATATATATATATAAAATTCATATCCAAAGTAAAACATATAGAAAATAATTATATCATCTTTCCAATTAGTGAAGAATTATAATTTTTAACAAACCCATCCTGGCTTTATTTTTAACAGTATTTTTATAGTATTTTATTGAGATATAATACTATAAAATTCATATACAGTAAATTTTAATCAATTTACAGAACTGTACAATGATTACCACACTTCACTTTTGGGACATTTCTTTCACCCAGAAAGAACTCTTCTTGCCCATTTGCAGTTATTTTCTGTCCGTAGCCTGAGTCCCAGCTCCATGCAATCTCTAATCTTACTGTCTGTCGCTATACGGTTGCCTTTTCTGGATTAAACTGTTTTCTTGGTCTACCAATTCTTTCCCTCTTATTATTACAAACAAAACAAAACAAACCTATGGTGGTCAAGTCAACTCTGATTCGTAGTGACCCTGCAGAGTTTCCAAGGCCGTAATCTTTAAGGAATCAGACTGCCACGTCTTTCTCCTGTGGAATGGCTGGTGGGTTTGAACCTTAACTACTGTGCCATCAGGGCTCCTTGCCATCACAAAAGCATAATGGTATCTGTAAATAGCAAACTCCAGGGGATTATGGCTAAACCTCACACAGTACTGGATAAGTAAGTGAAACAGTAAAATGCCTACTAAAGATGCCCAAAGAAGAACAAAATACTCTTTATTTTCTCATCCAATAAATATTTGAGGCCCAATGTGAGGCAAGCATTGTTTCTAGGTCCTTTGGATACATCAATGAAGAAAAAAATGAAGACCATATTAGACCAAAACACCATAGTTCTAAAGAGCATCTGAAAGAGAAAAAATCTTGACCAAATACAGGGAAATGATGAAGGAAGAAAAAGCTCATTCTTATCCCTTTGACAGCCAGTTCTTTCCATTTTTCAATTGCTACTTGCTCTGGTAGTGTAGTGCCTAAGGCATTTGACTGCTAACCAGAAAGAAGGCTAGCGGTTCAAACCTACCAGCCACTCCTCAGAAGGAACATGGGGCAATCTACTTCCATAGTGATGCCACCTCAGAAACCCAAGGAGGGGTGGTCTCTATGAGTTGGGTCTGACTCGACAGCACATAACAACAACAACAACAACTTGTAAACAAAATACAAAACATAGGAATTTTAAGTTTTAAAGAAAGAAGTTGTTTACTACAAATAGAAATATTTGATTACTTGACACAAGTATCACAGGATTATACCTAATGAAGAAAGGTTTACTGATATATCAGTATCATTCACAGATCTATAATTTCTATAATTAGAAGAAAAATTATACATGTTATTTTTAGAACTAGGATATATATTATAGGACTCATTGCCATTTTTTTTTTTTTAAAGAATGTTTTAAGGTAAACTGACCCAAAAATTAACTATACAACCTTTATTAAAATGCACTCAATTTGGGGTTGAATTTATAACCACATCCTGTGATTTCTGAGTTTAAAAGAACAGAATTTAGTTTGGTATAAAAACTGCCAACTTTTACTCATTAGAATACAGCTTGTTGAAAACACATTAAAAAAAAAAAAAAAAAAGGAGAAAACACTTTATGGTCTTTCATGCCTTGGTAATTCCCCACACAAAAATTCTTTAGAGGTCAGCCTTCTCTACAGCTTTCTCATTATTATTTTTCTTTTTTCGTATAACAATATGAAGACAAAAGACCCTTAGAATGAAAGTCCCAAAATTACCCTTCACTGATAACATTTGAAAAGAATGGTAGAATGAAGGAATTAGCTATTTGGCAAGCAGAACTTTTCAGAAAATGACCATATTTTATTATACATATATCTACATTTGTTCTGCCAAAAGAAATTCCTATTAACAAGCATTTATCAGATGCATACTGCTTGTCGGACTGTATAGTGAAAACCATGCAAAATAACATTATAAGATATGGTTCCCTGTTCTAAAATTGTTTATAATCTTCAAATTCATTCCAGAATTTTAGAATCAGAGTTGGGCAGTACACATCTGAAACAAGAATTAATGTGTAGTTTACAAATTATTTACAAACTAAATCTGATCTGAATGTGCTATAGTTTCCTTTAAAACAGCACCAACAACAAAAAAAAATCACTAATTTTATATGGAAAGGAAAGAGACCTCGGACAAGCAAAGCACTATTGAAGAAGAACAAAGTAGGAGGTCTCACTCTCCCACATCTCAAAACCTACTATATA